TGGCTGGAATGGAGCCGATGGAGGGGCTCTGTAGGGGCAGAAGGGAGTACTGGGGGCATGACCAAGTGCCCTGTGCTGCAGCTGTTCTCTGCTCCACACTGGGAGGTAGGAAGGAGAACAGGAATGACAGCAGCTCCAAGCCTCCTCTCCCTCACTCCAGGAGCTGGGCAGGGCTCTGCATGTTCCGAACCAGTCCCTGGATGGCCTAAAATGCGCCCATCTCTCTGCCAAGCACATGCACAGAATAACTTGAGAATCAGGCCCGGATGGATTTCATATCCCAAGCCCAGCCCTGCAGAATCAAGTCTGTCACTGGGATGGCTTGTCTTGTCACAGCCCAGGCCTGAATCCAGCCTTCTGGCTCAGCTCCATCCCCACCTTTCAGCTGTGACCCCGGAGCAAGCTTATCGGTAACTGCGAACTGGTTCAGAAGAAGTAACTGCGAACTGGTTCAGAAGAAGCTTCGTCGGCTCTCGCAGGCAGATTGTGGCTTCCGCCGGCTGTCTCTTGGCTTCCTGCCGCTCCTACTGCGGTGGGTTGGGGGAGGCGAGTCGGTGCGTTCTCGGTCCTGTCCCCACCAGCCAGACGTCCGATTTGCAGCAATCGGAACTGAGTTAACTTCCCCCTTGCTGCTGAATCCAGAAATGGACTCAGCACTAAGAATGGCCCTGCGGCGTGCTAGTGGCAGGGACCAGGAGGGAAGCCAGCACCTCTGCAGCTGGGTGGGCATTAAAAGAACTGGGTCTTCGACGCTGTCTGTGCCCCAAAGGCCTTTGATAAGAATGAACCGATCCTTTTCTTTATGCTAAACGGTTACCCGGCCTCTGCATCTGCTTCAGAAAGCATCTGGGCATGCACGCATGCATGTGCGGGCACACATCTCGGTTAGCCGGTGCCTGCACAGGGGATGGCAGGGGCACTGTAGACATAGGGGCAAACAGAAAACCTGTCCAGTTTCTCCCTGGCTTAGTGTCCAAGCAGAGGACCTGGCTCTTAGGTAATAGGCTGAGACCTTGTACACCTCACAGAAGGGTGATTCTCAGCCCACACTTGTCCCAGCTGGCAACGCACATCTGTAGACAGAGGTGTCATGAGTCCTCTTCTCCTCAGTCCCACTGTTGGCACAACCGTGCCCCTTAGACAGAAACTCAGGGGCAGTGCTTTGTGTTTGTACAGCACCGAGCACATGGTGATCCTGGTTTACAACTGCAGCTTCTCTTCTCATACAGACAGGAACAAGGACAGTGAGTCAGAGTCAGCATGCTCCTGTCCCATCTGCTGTGTTACCAGTGAGCCGGGCCATAACCTTGTGGGTGGGATGGGCTGTCCCTTCAGCTTCCTGCTCCCTCTCGGGAGCAGGGCTCTGTTCTGCGAGGTGTTTGCCCAGCAGCGTTGGACTCGCCCGCTCTGTACACACAGGCCTGGTGCCCCCAGCGAGGTTGCTCAGCTACTGATCAGTGGATCCATTGGCCGCCCGGGGAGGGCTCCTGCTCAGACTTGTTTCTGGAACAGTCGGTAGATGTGCAAGGTGGGGCTGCCGAGAAGGTGTAGCTGGCAGCACTGTTTGCACCTATGGCAACCGGGAAAAGCAGCTGGTGGAGACGGATGAAAGGCCTCTTTAATTATTCACCTCTCCCCACACGCCAGCAAAAGTCAGGCCCAGGGGCAGGGGGCAGGAAGAGGGTGAGAGATTGCAGCAGGCAATAAGAGTGCTGCGAAAGGGCATCGTAAAGCGGGCAGCGAGGGAGTGAGTGGCTGCAGGGGCTCGTGGTTCTGCCCCTTCCCCGCAAGGCCACGCAGATCCTGCCCAGATCCTGCCCTGCTGTGGCTGGGAGGCATGATTCATTAATGATCATTAGATATTGAGCCAGGAGTGGAAGGTGATACTAGGAGGTGGAGCCAGGCAGCTCCAAGGAGGGCAGCTGTTTAATGTCTTGGATTCCTGCCTAGAGCCAGGCTGGGTCCCTGCCTCCGCATCCCTCAGCAGGGGGTTGAATGCAGATCTGGACCAGAGCATAGGCTTTGGATCCAAATGAATGTGTGCGTCCTGAGAAGCAGAAGAGAACCCCAGGGCAGGACTCTCCAGGCGCGCCCCTCCTGTACCTGGCAAGCTGGGGCAGAGCCCTCTGCCATTTCCACACTGCTGTCAAAGGCCTCGTATGCAGGGAGTCTTTTCTTCCCACTCACTCAGAGGCCCAGAGGGTGCACGAAACATGAAGCACTGATCCTGAGTCCGTTTCCTCTTTGCTTTGGGTTGACAGAAGCATGATGTGGGATGGTGCAGAGAGCCTGCACGCTGCTACCGTTCTGTCTTGGAGACTAAGCACCCCTGTGCAGCTGACTTTGGCTCGAGGCATGGGGCAGGGGGTCTCCACAGCCACAGCAGGGAAAACCTACCAGTTCCCCAAAAGCTCAAAGTGTATCTGATCCCACTAAGCTTTCACCCACAGCTCCAACGGCAGCTGCTGCAGCCACTGATTTTTGCGTGCCCTTGGAGCTGAGAAATTTTGCACCAAAGGAAACTTTTTATGGCAAGTTATATGTTCAGGCAGCAAGGAGCGGGGAGGGGGGGTGAAGACAGGAACGTTCCTGTCACCTTAACCAGCGCGCTGGGGGATGGAGAAGGCACCTCCCTGCTCTTGGTTCTTGGGCTTCGCGGGAGCTCCTTGTTCTGCACGTCGCCTGCTCCCTCCATGCCGACCCATAAATAATGCAAGCGTCTTTGTGTTGCTGTATGAAATATTCATCCTGCCATCAAGGGAGCCATGGGTGTGCGTGCAGCGGTGGGAAGGAGGAGAGACTGACAGTTGCTCTGGTAATTGAGACCAAGATAATCACCGGTGGAAGTGCACAGGTGGGGGAGGGAGGGGGGAAATCACCTTACAGGAGGTAGAAAGAAGCACCTGACAAGGAGGGAGGTGTGAGCTGGGACCCCCAGCCCCAGTGCCGATCACAGCCACCGGGAAAGGCCCCTTGGAGGAGGCATCACTGGAGTCAGGCCGGCTGGTGCAGACGAGCTGCCATTGCCCACTCGCATGTCAGGCTGGCCTCATCTGTCACATATCACCGGCTCAGCAGATTGTCACAGGGTGACCGGGTTTCAAATTCTGCCCGTCTCTGTCATCGGGTGGAGCTGAACTCCCGGGCTTGGTACTTCTCTCATTTCGTGCCAGCAGCTGCCTAGGCTTTGGTGGCATTGCTCCTGATTTACACTTGTTGTCATGTGGGGGAGTCAGGCCGCATGCCTGATAGACTTGTGTCTGCCCAGAAATGTCATCTCATTAGCAGGGACGAGGAAAAGAGCTTGAAGGCACCTGGGAAAGCGTCAGTCCGCGCACAAAGGTTCCCACGCAGTGTTTGCTGGTGACCTGAAATGCTTCGGTTTTGCTGAGGCCCAACTGCCTGTGTCACCCCCAGGAAAGGTTTAAAGCCCCCACCTGGGTGCAGCCCTGCCGGGGACACGTCCCCGTGTCACGTTCTCGGTGTACGATCAGCCAGTGACAGCTGGTTCAGATGATGTCGCTGGTGGAGTTTGGCGTTCTGTTGGGCAGGTGCCCCGTCGCTTCTGGAGCGGGGGGTGGAGACGGCTGGAACAGGGGGGGTTGTTCTCTCTGTCACAAACCCTACAGTGCAAACAGCCCCGCTGCCAGCTAGGGCAGGGAGGAAGGAACCACCCACGGGGTGGGGGCAATCCAGATGGTTTGCTGCCCCAGGCTACTCCTTTCCCCCCACAAGCCAGTGCAGACCTGTCATCTCCCCTCCAGGCCTTGGCAGGACACCACGTCCTCCGTACCTCTGCCATCACTTCTCTGCTCCCGTAGCTCTGCCAGTGCATCCTACCTCGCCGTTCCCTCCCAGCCCTCCTCCACCTCTGACCTGTCCCCTCGTCCGGTGCTGCCCCACCATCCTGCAAGTTGCATCAGTGAAACCTAGTGCATTGCAGTCGAAGCCGGCCTCTGGACCTGCCTTCTTGAACAGAGACTACAGCTCACGCCGCACAGCACGGCAAGGCAGGCAGCTCCCTACAGCGCTCTGTGGATAGAGGTATGCGAGAGCCAGAACCTGGCTGGGGTTCAAACATGCCCCCACCTTCTCCCAGGACGAGCCATCTTCATGGTGCTTCCCTGGGCTCCTCCACCGCAGCTTGCAACACCGCTGTGAGTCAGGGAAGTGCTATTTCCTCATTGAGCATGAACCAGGGCAAACACAGACTGACTGGCCCGAGGTCACAGGAAGTCTGCAGCCAGGCTGGGAATTGACCCTCAATCCTCTGGGAATTGACCCTCAGAGTCCCCTCGGAGTGACACCCACACCCCCTTTTCTTACAGTCACTTGGGCTTTCACAGTTCCCTCTCAGACATTTTAGCTCTCGAGACGGATCCAGGGGCACTTCAGCTTGCTGGAAAACGAACGAAGCCAGGGAAGTCGCCCCCACCTCGGCCCCGAAACCCCCATCCTGCATCCTGAACAGCTGGCCCGACCTCCCTCCAGAAGCCGAGACCAGCCCCATTGTGTTTCTCTCATCGCCGCAGCACCGAGGTGCGCCAACAATGGAAGAGGCTGGGATTTTCTGCATAGTTTTTCTTTCCCCCCTCTTCTTTTCTTAAAGGAACTCGAGAGGAGCTGGAAGCCCGAGCGACAGGAAGGAAACCTGCAGGTTTATTTTGGGCTCGAAACCACGCTGGGGCAAAGCTGCCTCTTCCGTGCGCTGATAAAGCAGCGCCCCTGCGAACAATGGAGCGAGGCGGCCACGCAGGCCAACAGGGGCCGTCCATGCAGGAAAAGGCCTCGTTGAAGCCAGATCTCCAGCCCCTCATTAATCAGTAGCATCGGCCCATCTGGAAGTGGGAGATGGGGGGAGGGACGTGTGGTTAAGGGGGGTGGCGGGCAACGACTGGAGGAAATAAGGATGAATTAATTCCCTTGTGACTCACATTGGGGGAAGTGCTTCCCAGCCACATACCACGGAGCCATGCGGGGTGAGGTTCGGAGCTGAATGCGAATCAGCACAGCCCAATCCAGAGGGGATGAGATCGGTTCAAAGGACTTGGGCTCCTGTGAGTGACCTGGAGCAAGCTGCTTTAGCTGCCCCGGCTCTCAGCTCCTCCATCTGGGAGGGATCCCGGCATCCCGTCTAAAACCCGGCCCAGCTCAGGTCTGTTATTAAATTAATAGCACAAGGGAGCGGCGGGTGGAGTCTGCTCTTTGTGGCTGCTTATGGAGAGGCTTGGGCAAGGCAGCAGAGGTTTCTTTAGCTGGGCATTTCCCGTCTTTCAAGGATTGTGTAGGTGGAGTTTGCAATTGGGCAACCTCAGCTGCAAAGCAAGGTGAGAACCTGCCATCACACAGGGCCCAAGGCACTTGGCAAAGGACGAACCTGCGGCCGCACTGATACGTGGCCACTCTGGGATGCAGTCTCCAGCGGGATGTACAAGGTGCTGACAGATGGGAGCAACTGGAAATCCCAGGGCAAGGACGTGGGAGCTAAGCCTTCCAGGCAGGACCCTGGGAGCAACACCCAGGCCGGGTGGACAAGGTCACCGGCTTGAAGGTCATGGATTCTAAACGGCAAAAGACACGGGTTGGCTTCTGGGGCCTGCGTTTGGCTTCTCCGCAGGGGTCAGATGAGACTCCCTTGAACAGTCCCTTCTGGCCTAGCAATCTCTGCTTCAAGGGGACAATGGGGTGAGCCAGCCCCAAGCCTCTTAGGTGTCTTGGAGGCCTCGCGGTCTCAGCATTGGATTTGAGATGCCTTGAAGCAGCAGCTTCCAATGTTCTCCTGTGGCCACCTCACTTCCAGGCTCACGGCCCCTTTTCTGGTTCAACCCCAGTCACTATCACTGAATATCAGAGGCTTCCTACTCCACTCATTAAAGGTCATGACCTCACTTGGGGTCATGACACTTAGTTTGGGAATGAACGGCTGCCTTAGAGTCCTGGTTTTCCAGTGCTCACTAGAGGAAGTCAGTGGGTGCTGAGGATGCTCAATGTCTCCAGAAACCAGGACAAAAGGATGTCAAGATTCGACTCCTCTCAACCCAGCAAGCACCTTGGAGGGGAAAGGCCTTGAGGTTTGTGGGCCTCAGTTTCCCCACCTGTAAAATGGGGACAGGCTTAGTGTAAGAGGTATTTCTGCCATACGGAAATAGCTGTTCCCAAGCTGGTTCCCCACTTCCATCTGCCTTAACACGCCGCTGTACAGCCATGCTCCACAGCCCAAAGAGACCCAGCGTCAGTGCCCAGGGCCCCTCGCAACACTAGCACAATGCCATAACACAGCAAATTCCCCCTTGAGCAGGGGAGGCTAAGCAAGTGCTAAATTGCTAACCCTAGCACTGTGGTATGCTCGCCTGATGGAGCAGATCTGTCTCGCTTTCCCTTGGTAACGACTTCTCCCACGTGCGCCTGTCGGGCAGAAAATGAGCCTGTCCAGTCCAGAGGATGCCTGCAGCTCCGGAATAGCTGGCTGTATATTTTCATTGCTTTATTAGCAAAGCCGGCAAGCGCTAGCTCTGGGCTCATGCTGTTAAAATCAATGTTTTCACATAAAAGGAAATACTTACAAACCTTTGTGTTTCCAAAGGGCTGTAAATAACACTGCGTGGAACATCTTGCACGGTGCAGTTTTTGACTGCTCCATTACTGCTCGCTTAATTTATAGCCTGCTTACAGCGTGGGCCAGCCTTTCCGTTATTACCCCTTAGTCATAACAGAAAATTCCCTGGCAGCTGAAGCCCACTGCACAGGCATTTTCCTGCACCCTCCCTGGTTCTGCTAGGGCATTTCTTCTCCTTACCTGCGTCCATCCCTGCCGATCCAATGTAATCACTTCCACCAGCTGGATTCAGGTTCCAGATCTAAAAACCCAAGGAAGATGGCGATCTTCTGCCATCATACGTAGCCTCTTCCATTGCCAGTTCTCAAAGCACTTAGTGAGTGTTAACCTCACCATTCCCCCTTCTACGCATGCAGATGTGAGGAAAGTGGTTATCATTAGGTCCATTTTACAGATGAGCAAGCTAAGGAGCGGGCTGGTAAAGTGGCTTGGCCCAGGTCATCTAAGAAATATGCGTCAGCACTGGGACTTGACTCGTGTTACAGCGTCCTGTGTGGGATTCCTCTTAGATACCTCACCATGCGGTAGTGGAGCCCTCCGAGAACAAGGCCACTGAACACGTCGCACAAAGCGCCACATCCCTGGACCTGTCACTCCCTTATGCCAGTGCCTTGAAACACATCATTTTATTTGTACTATTACTTGTCCCAACCAAGAGTCGGGCCCCGTTGGGACAGGCGTTGTATGTGTATGTAGACAAGACTGGCAGGGACCTGCTGAGTTGCCCAGTCCTCCTGTTGCGGACAGCCACGTCCTCCAATCCTGCTCATCTGCTCCTCCAACTCCAGCTCAAAACTAGCTAGGTTTCTCCCTTACTTCTCCTCTTGGGGGAGGCTACTGCAGATGCTCAGATGCTTAGAAATGTTCCTCCTTTCTAGCCCATCTATTCCTGGGTAGTTTATGCTCATTTCTTCCTATGCCAACACCGTCCTGTGGCTTCATGACCTCCTTCCCCTTCCCAGCATCCGGTCCCATGATGTGTTTGTATAGACCAGGCAGTCCCCTCTCTGCCTTCCTTTTGTGAGGCTAAACAAGCCACGTACAACTAACCAGCCTGTTTCTTCCCCACCCACCCTCATGCATGGGCTCCTAGTTATATCACCACATGGTTACAGCACAGCAGTAGCCTGAGGCAGGACAGAGCTCAGCGCCCGTGCGGCTTCAGTCACTTGCTTTGATCTTTAAAGCAATAACCAGCCCAAGTGGATTGGTGTGTAAAGGGGGACCTTGGCAGGGCTCATAAGCTGTCTCTAGGGCTTGAAATAGCTCCTTTGACTCATGGGGGTGTTGGTTGTAGCCGCATTGGTCTAAGGACATAGGCAGACAAGGTTCTTTGGGTAAATGTCAGGTAAGTGTAAACTGATATCTTCTAACTTGCTGCATTTTCTCTTTTGCAGTCTTCAAAAAAGCTGATAGCCCTGCTCACCTGGAGGCGACCTACTGCCAGCTTCATCCAGCTGCTCCCTATCCCCCCCTGCGTGAGACCCGAGCCCTTTGAAAGCACACGTGGGGCACAGCGAGTGCACCGGGGCCCAGGGACCTGTGAGCTCAGCTCATCAGCCAGCCAGGTAATCAAATCAGATGTGCAATCTAACCCCTCCGGGCGTAACAAGAAGCTGGAAAAAGAAAAGGAGATGGGCTCCAAAGGAGTCTGACAGAAGGGAGGGAAGGAGGCAGGTGGGGTACCGGAGCTGAACAAAGTTACAGCAGCAAACATGACTGCTCTGCTGGAGGTGGAGCTGTGCTGTACTGAGAGCTTCTCCCTTGCCCTCAGGGACATATGCCAGCTGTTGAGGAGGGCATGTTAGTCCACCTGGGTGAAAATACACAGGTAGCAATACAGATCCCGGGTGGGAAGAGGGGAATCCATGTCTAACAGGCCCTTCCAAGATACTAAATGCATCTGCCCACCTTTTTGGTCAGAGGAGTGTCTCTCTCCATATTACCTAACCACTAGATAAGTTTGCTCCCAGAACTGGGGAAGGAACCCAGGAGTCCCCAGCTGCCAAGTCCTCTGCTCTCTAAGCCATGCCTCCTTCCACAGCTGGAAACAGAACAAAGGAGTCCCGATTCCCAAACTCCCTCTGTTCTGATCCCAAAACTACACTCCCACGTCCCAAATTGGAAGTGGAACCCAGGAGACCTGACCCCCAGGCCTCCCTGCTCCAATCATAAGACCATAATGCTTTTTCTATCCAGAAATGCATGTGTTGGTATGGGGAGGGGGCAGAATAATCACTCCAGGACGAGGACTGATGCGTGTGTGTGCCCTTTTACCCCTTACAGAGAAGATGGACACCTTCAGCACCAAGAGCCTTGCCCTGCAGGCTCAGAAGAAGCTCCTGAGCAAGATGGCCTCCAAGACCATGGCAAACGTCTTCATCGATGACACAAGCAGTGAGGTCCTAGATGAGCTGTACCGTGTCACCAAAGAGTTCACCCGCAACCGCAAGGAAGCCCAAAAGATTATCAAGAACCTGATCAAGATCGTCATGAAGCTGGGAGTGCTGTACCGCAACGGGCAGTTCAATGCCGAGGAGCTGCTGCTGATGGAGCGCTTCCGCAAAAAGGTGCATACCTTGGCCATGACCGCCGTCAGCTTCTACCAGATAGACTTCACCTTTGACCGGAGGGTCATGTCCAGCGTGCTGAATGAGTGCCGTGACCTGCTCCACCAGGCTGTCAACACCCACCTGACAGCCAAGTCCCACTCCAGGATCAACCACGTCTTCAACCACTTTGCGGACTACGAGTTCCTGTCGGCACTGTATGGCCCCTCTGAGCCCTACCGCACCCACCTGCAGAGGATCTGCGAAGGGGTCAACAAAATGCTGGATGAGGATAACATATGACTGAGCAAAGGCAAGGCATGGGAGTGACTGTCCAGCTTTTGGCCCCTGCTTTCTTCCAGCCAAATCCTCCAGGCTGAATGCTTGTCAATGGCAAGGCGTCCATGGATTTCAATGGCATCGGGCTATATGACTGTCTTTCTCTGTGGTGCTAAATATCTTGCTTATTCCCTTTTCTTTGTTATAAAGACCAAGAGGTGTTCCCTTTCTATGTGAATTTTGCAATGCTCTGCTTACCCTGGTGCCCAGAATCTGTCTGCCTCATTCTGCCTCCCAAAAAGGGAAAAATCCTGCAGCTAGCATCAATCTCTCCCTTAACTCAAGCACAGCCCCACCAAGGGAGAGCGCCCACAGCTGAGACTGACAAGATGCTGTACTTTGCATCATGCTCTGATATCTCAGCATTTGAACCCAGTTCACTGTGCGTATAACCCTATGAGCCTGGACCTCCAGCCCCTAGCCTGAGTGACGAGCTATCATGTATTTTATAGCTCTTAGTCACACGGTGCATGTTGTTACCCACAAAGTGCTCCGGACCTCACCGCTCGGAGGTCAAGGAGACCTGCTGTGGCAAAACTTCTGTTGCCTTTAAAGCTATTTTAAGATATCAGCGGGGAAAAGAATCCACTGCCTTTTGGTGTGTGACTCTCTTCCTAAGGCTCGTTTCAGCAGAGATGTGACCAGCAGTGCCTCTCGGGTCCTGTACAAGGGTCAGGACACAGGGCTGTCTGTACCGGAGTTCAAACAATACTGGCCATGTTTAAATCCAGGTTTTCCTAGCATGTGTGGAAAGACTGAGCCAGCCTTTGAACTGCTGTACAAAGCCATAGAGCTGCCAAAGCCAGGGGACATGTATTAGCCTCTTGCATGCAAGCACTGGCAGACGGTGTTTATCTAGCTTTAGCCTCCTCTGAGAACAAGATGACTGTAGTGGGGGCATCTCCCAAGGTGATGAACTGTCCTTGGAAGTGTGAGGATCACATCCCCACAGGAACCCTTGAATAGGAAAGAGGCTTCAGCCAGGACAGTCAGCCTGGGGTCTGACCAGCGGGGACCACTGTGATTACAGTCAGAAGTCCACAACAGGCAAGACCTAAAACAGAGTGGCAGCAAATGGCCACACTAGAGCCCACTTGTATGTCCCTATTATCTTCAGTGACCCCATAACTACTTTGGGCAAGTCACAGAGGCAACTACATGTCTCTGTCCTCTCTATAAGGACACGGACCCTTTTTTCCTGTTTGTGTTTCTATTCTCTAGGAGCCAAGAGAAAGGGACATGCTGCTCCTACAGACATCATACAAGCACTTTTCTTCCTTCTCCTTGGAAACCCAACCTGAATTCCTCTGTCCTCAGCCTCTTCAGCCGATTGTATCTGTGTAACGGTGTTGAGGTGTCCCTGGGTAGCTGGCCAGAGCCACTGACGTAGGTTGTAGGTTTTAGACTTCTTAGAGTGAATTAAATTAAAAAAAAAAAAAAAAGAACCCAGCCTGTGTCCTGGCAAGCTGCTTCCACATGCTGATACTGTCTGTGCTTTGGGGATCGCTTGCAAATGCTGTGATGAAACAGTGTGTGGTTAGCAGAGCCTCTCCTTGCCTTTGCTTTCCAAACTAACGTGATCATACAGCCCAAGAGCATTCCTCTGCCTGTGAACCCAGGGGTACAGCACAGAGCCTAGGATGTAGCAGGAGAGGCAGGTCCCAGGGGATTCCACGCAGCGATCCCACCAAACTGCCCCTTGCCAGACTGCACCCACGGTAGCTCAGCTTAGGCCCTTCAGGGGGTCACTTCTGCCCCCCCCTTGCAGCTTAAAACACATGAAGATCCGGTCTAGTCCTGTGCCACAGGCTTTGTTCAGCTGTAGAGTGCAATGTGCTTCAAAAAGACGAGAGGCCTCCTTGCTGCTGTTTTACAGCTGGAGAATCCAGTTCATGGAGAGAGGAGGGGACTTGCCCAGTAGGCCAATGGCTAAAGCAGGGCAGAACCCAGTGCTCTGCCCATTATCCTACACTACCTCCCATTAACAGCCACACTAGCATCCAGTTTCAGCTGCAGAGCAGGCAACCTGCTCTGCACCCCTTACAGCAAAAGCTGGAACCTGAGGGTGAGGGGATGGCTGGGTCTCCAGCCCCACTAAGCTCTTACTCTTCCCAGGAGGGCACCAGTAGGTGCTGCTGTGATTTAACAGGATCCAGAGACTGGCTATGGGGAAATGTGACTCAAAACCAGCTTATATGGTAAAGGCTGCTAAGACGGTAGCAGGGTTTCAGTTGCTCCAGCCCTGCCAGCCATTTGAGCCCTCCAGCCACGTAGCTAAAACTCTTCCCACTCCTGACTGCTTTGCTGCACTGCCGGCATTCAAGCAGGAGTGAAATTCAGCACGACCAAGAACGAAGCAGCTGTGTGGAGGGGGCTCCGGGGCACCCGTCTCCACCCCGGCACACGTGCCTGTGTGCTCTGTTCTTCAGAAGTGTTCCTGGCGTTCTCTTGCTGCACTGCAGGAGAGATAAAGCGCTGACCCTGATAACGGACCACAAAACCAAAGGGAAACTTTAAGAACTAAAGAAAGGCACGTTGTTGAAGTGCCTTGGTCTCAGAGCACGATCTTAACGGGATGCACCATCCATGGCCCATCTCCAGCACTGTGCATTGTACTCTGAAAATTGCCCTTTCAGCATACGAGGCTCTTCACAGACTCGGCTTGCCTTATCGCAGTGACCTTCTTGTGCCTCCTGTTCTGGGGGATGTTTCCAGGCACAACGTCCCCAGCCTTCATGAGATTGCTAGAGCTGTAGATTTAGAGCGGAGAGCTGCTGAGTCTCTCAGACACACAGCTCCCTTCCTGCTGCTGGTTCCTAGCCCTGATAACTACCAGGCTTTTAAAATCTTCCAGCCCCTGGTCTCTCATTTAATTTGGCTTATTCCAAAATCTCACAGTTAATTTAATTGTGCAGCGCAGCTGGGGAAGAGCATGGCTACAGGTGTAGGAGAAGCAGCGCAGCTGGGGAAGAGCATGGCTACAGGGGTAGGAGGCAGCACAGGCAAGCAGCAAGTACAGCTGCTCTCCGCCTGTAGAGTGCAGTTCACGTTGGCCGTTGTCTGTGGGAGGTTGAAAATGAACATCCAGTCCCCGTTACCTGACCACGCTGCGGTTGTCAGCCTCTGCGGAGTACAGGCCCAGACTGGGAACAGCCCATCAGCACTCAGCTGGAGTATTGGCAGATGTGTTCAGAGAAACCGAAGCAGAACATGTCTGATGGATGCCGCGGCAAAGGGCTGGCACAGTGACAGGCAGAGATGCTTCGCTGCTCTCTTCTGAGGTGCATTTGTCAGCACCAACTGCGCGATGCTCCTTAATTATGTGAAACATCCCTGCTGTGACAGTTCTCTGGATCCAGCACGACTCCTCAGTCACGAGGGTCACCTCGCGCGCAACGCGGCACGGCCGAGAACTTGCTGCGAAGGTGACAGTGGAACAACAGTACAAGGAGGTTCCTTCACATGGGCCCCTTGTCTGGCACCACTCATCTCCCCTCTCCCCCCAAAAACCTACCCTTTAGAGTACACAATGCAAGATCTATCCCTCTATCAGAGCACGTGGTCTGCAGAATTCAGCTGAAACAGCCCCTAACTACTGACAAGGCATCAGTGGCCAAGAGAACACCTTACATGACAAAATGCTCTGCCGTTATGTCGGCTGAGCAAATCTACAGATCTAGTTCTCTTTCTGGCCTGGCTGAAGACAGAGAGAGAAGAAGAATATCTGATAAAGAAGTTTCTAGGAAGAGAGTGATTCAGTGATATAATAGACCCTTTGCACTCCTAACTTCTAGTTTCCCTAAACAGACATGGCGCGTTTCTTCTTGCTGACCTTCTTTTGTCTCATGACATCACCTCTTTCCAACCAAGAAGACACAGCATAAGAACCTGCCGGCGCCTGCTGAGGGGGCAAGAAGCTGAGAGCCAAAAGGTTAGTGCCCGCAAAGCCAAATACGTTGTGCGAAGACCGAGAAGATGGAAGACCCAGCATCAAAAACAAAACTCGGAGACATGTTCTGCTTTATTTATTTAATTTGCTGTATTTACACATGAAGGGAATGCTGGATTCCTTCACAGTTATTCATCTAAATAAGAAAAATCATTTCAGCCTGTAAGAAAATAGTCCTGGAACTGCGTCGGATAGCGAAAGCGTCACTTAATGGATCTCTGTGTTGTATCAGAATAAGCAAGGCCTGTGTGTGCTCCACAGTGCTGTTTCCTATGCCAGGGTACCGCCCCCACTCTGTACACTGAGGCAGCGATATAGGGTCCTCTCCAGCCCGCTGAGAGATGGTCTTTGGATACTACCCACTGGACAGGATATCAAATGGGCCGGGCCAGCTGTCTCAGCCTCCGCTCCCTCCCCCCCCTACCCGCTCCCCATTTGAATAAGTTCATCTTTTGCTGCTTCTGCAAAGAAATCCTATTCCCCCTCCAGAGACTAGAGAGTTAACGACTTTTCTTTAGCAAACCTTGTTCAAATCCGGCCCCTTATCTTTCTGCGTTGCTCTTCCTTGCCAAAAAGATAAGGAGTCCCCGTTCCAGGGGAGCTTTACCATATTCAGATCACTGAAGCAGAAAGCAGGCGGTAGAATGGCTGGCTGCGGATCAGGAATCCAAGAGGCCAGTTCTAGCTGCAAAAGGTCTCTTGTCCCTCAAGCACATTGTTACTCTGACACAAGACAGCATGGATCTGTCTTAACATCCCCGAGTCCCCGCTCGTATCGGACCCCCATGTATTTCTATGTGGAAAACAGGAAAGATTTGGCCACTCGAGAAAAATCCAGGGAGAAACCAAATGTCCCCTTTATCTGCCACGCTGCTCCAGCCAAGAAACACGACCCGTCCAGGAGCCTCCAGATCACAGCTCATCGCGGGGCGTTTTTGCTACAATCACTAGTTTGGACAGCTCGGAATGGAACTTGCCGTCCTTGTGAGCCACTGGAATGAGAACACACAAGGAATGAATGGGCGAGGAGGCTGCAAGCCCTGGCCCTTTCCTAGAGAACACGATGCCAAGGCCAAGCACTGAGCTCCACATCAGACCCACAGAGAGCACAAACCAGTCAGTTACAAAGTCACCGTTTAGCTCCTGGCAGCATCTACATGTTCTAGAGAGGGAGCGTGCCCCCAGTCTGTGGGGAGGGGCTGTATGGGAGAGCAAGAGAGACAGTCCCCATCCTAAGGAGTGCACAACCCACTGCTGTCACAAATATACCAGCTCCAACACTCAAGCAGCCAGGTCTCAGATACCTTTCCAGCAGTGTCCTACCTTGCTTCTAATCATTTGCAATGGATCAAAATATGCCACAGCCCTCCACTTGGAGAATCATAGAAAAGGGGGTGATCCTGCCCCAGGAGAACCCCAAATGGTGGGTGCACCACACACACACACACACACACACTCACTCTCTCTCTCTCTCTCTCTCTCTCTCTCTCTCTCTCTGTCTCTCTCTCTCTCTCCAGACCCTTCTGGCTGGCGAAAAGGATTCCAGGTCACAAGAACACTCTCCAGACTTCTGTTCCTCACCCTTGCGTTTAGTATAAATACCTCTTGCCCACAGATCTCTCTCATTTTGGATAACTGGCTCCATCCCCCATGTAAGCCCCTCTCTTTAGATGGCAACAGACCTGTTGTTTCAGCGATTTCAAATTCCTCTTCCTTTAAAGGGATGTCACTCTGTCCAGCCACCGCTGCTTTGGACTGAAATGAGAATGAAGGGGTTTTACCATTTAAGCAAATCCAAAGAGCTTCCAGATTAAGCGAGCAAACAGCAAAAACCCCAACAGGTCTTTTATACAAAGATGGTTGCTGATAAGAATAACTGGGGCAAATGTTTTTCTGCTGGAGCAGGGGTCTCCATATGGGATAAACTGGGAACCACTGGTCTAAGGGAACTAATAGGTCTTTTCTCTCCTTACTTCCTATGCTTTTTTGGAAGGTCTCTGACTCTTTAAAGCAAGGTTAAATCCTCTGCACTACAAATGACTTAAAGGATCAAACCAAAAACACCCCTCCTTCCCCCAGCAACATTGCTTCTGCAGAACTGACCAGAGTAGTGAGTGGCATCTTTAAAACCAGCAGCCAGGCAAAGACTTCCAAGGAGCAGGCACAGTGGTCTGCAAAGGGGTCCATTTGTTGCTACTTCCCTGCCCATAACCGCATTTTAATTAAGGGCACAGTGGAATAATGATTTTGCTGAAGCCACCAGGTAATGCAGCTGTCTGATTGCTCTCATTGTCCAGCCAGCCCCCACATGACCATTCAGAAGAATCAGATGAGACTTACATAAGCCATGGCATATTCTATCTTTGCTCCTTTCACTTCAGCTTTAAACTGGGTAAAGAAGAGATAAGACTTCCCCTGGGGCCTGAAAAGAAAGAACAGAATCTTTGACTTCGAAACAAGGGAGTGGTTATATGACAGAAAACACTGAGAACAAGAGCACGCTGAGGGCAAAGGATCAGACAGCTTCCTGCCGGGCAGGAAAATCAGGGTCTCGATTTTGAGTTGGTTCCCTGCAGCGAGGAAGGGCTGGGAGCTTTCGAGACATCATGCTCTGGATGCTCAGAGGAGGAGGAAGTGAAGTGCACACCCCTAGGAGCCAACGCAGGTGGGAGATAGTGCTCTGAAAGGGAGCAGGTCCCTGCTGTAGGACTTGGAATGCCCCAAGGAAGGACAGAGATACCCCAGATGAAGGCTGGGGTACAGGTCCTTCAAATAGCCCTGTGTTTTCTCCTGTAGCTCCCCCTAGCGTCAGCAGAGTTCATCAACAACCCACCCGAGAACTAGAGCTGGATCCAGGGCAAAATCCCTTTAATGAGATGCACATGCATCTTGCCCAAAGCCAGAAACAAACCTGTGACCAAGGACTCCAGCAGGCTGATGCTGTAAACCAGCTAGCATCGCAGCTGTCGTGTGGAGAGCTTCTCTTCCAAGGGTTTCCCAACTCATGGGAGGGAGGGATTGCCAAGGGAAAGCCCTGTCTATGAATGCTTGATGTGGTTTAATCCAGGGGTAGGCAACCTCCAGCATGGGTGCCAGAGCATGGCACCTGAAGGCAATTTGCTTGGCATGCGCACCTTGGGGCAGATAGTGGAAAAGAGGCCAGGGCTGCTCTGCCACAACAAGTATAAGGCTCCTTGAGGCTCTCCTGCCATCCACCCCTGGCATGCCAGCATCTTACAAGTTGAGGTTGCAGGTGATTTTTGCCCAAAAAAGTTGCCGACCCCTGGTTTAATCTTTGGACTGATTTATCTACACCCTGGGGCCTTGTTTTCAACAAAGCTGCACGAGAGAAGATGACAGCAGGAGGGGAAAAGTCAAAGGAGGAAGAAAAGGGGCCATGATTTGGGCAAAAAGGAACAGCAGGCTGGGAGTATGAAGTGGGAGAAGCGGGGCTATGTGGAGACCCAAGTTCTGAGGGCAGAGGAGGTTTAAGGGAACAGGGGATATATCACACTCTTAGGGTTAAAAGTCTCAACACACCTCCAAACTGAGCAAGAGAAGAGCAGGTTGTCTTCGCTGACTCCAACACTCATCTGCCATTGCTGTGGGGAGGAAAGGGCTGAACAGTGAATCCTGGCAGCATTCAGCCTCACCCACTGCCTGGTGCCATTCCAGGCCTTTGCAAACAGCTGCACACATCACACATTTCAGCCACGACAACCCCTCCTGGGTAGGGATCTCATTTGCCAGACCAAAGATGGGTTTTCAGTGGTATTATTTATACTGTAGCAATGGTATACTTGTGCAGGGAGCTCGAGAAGGGCCATACAAGAGTCTCAAACAAAGGGTGACTAAAATGTCACATGTTTTACTGGAACACAGTTGTCATCCAACTACCAACAACCCTTTTTAATTACTGCTTTTCTATGGGGTGGGGCACAAGCTCTACACTTCCTCCCCACTAATAACGTGGTGGAGGGAAAAGCCTTGCTCCTGCCTGTGTTATAAAAACAAACCTGACCCTTCCCCAAAGGAAGCCGTTTCAGGTGTGTGAGAGGGTCACATCTTTGTGTTGTGTGTTTGTGCACCATCTAGCTAAATGAGCCCACGCCACAATTCTTGTGTGTTACTGCAACACCAGCAAGAAAAGCCGCTTCTTCAAGAGAATAAGAGCTGCAGATTACTTCCTTGTGGAGATAAGCATTTTGAAAACCCCTCAGAGTTATAGGAGAGGCAACATCTGCTTGCTGAAAAAAGCCCCAAGTGAACTGCAAACCTCACAAGCTTTGCAGGTGTCAGGGCCTTGCTGAACTCAGCCTCACTGGAGTATACAAGCAACTCTTTTCTGCAGCTGAAGCAAATGCAGGCAGTTTCCTTTTGTGATTGTGAAACACTGCAAATTCATTTTATATATATATATATATATATATATTTTTTTTTTACCTTTCACAAAGCCCAGGTCTATAGTCAGATGATTATTCTCATGCTTCATTAAAAAAAAAAAATGGTATGACTATAGTTGCAGAGAAAAATGTGGTTTACGTTCATTCGCCACCAGTTAAAGATTCAGAAGGGAAATAAGGACCTGTCACTTACTCACTTCTGAGCGTATGATCAGTTCTAAAATGCTTTCTGCGCGGTTTTGTGGTGCGTTTGTTTGGTGGTGGTGGTTGTGTGTGTCTTTTTATGCTTTAGGTGGATGCAGCTGTGAAATTCTCTTAGGATTTCCAGCTGTACCCAGGAAGAGAGAGATGTACTTGCTCCTTATTGCAGCACTGGAGCACTTCAGAATCTAAATGCCCCTTTATCACCCAGACCCGCACACCTCCACAGACACCTGAGGAACAAGGTAATTAGCTACTCTCGTTAAACGCACAGATTTCTCCAGCAGCTTCTTTTATACGGGCTCTGGAGCCACGCGTGGCACTGCCGAAGCCAAACGCCCAGACGCTTGGAAACCTTACCTCGTTCGTCCCTCCCTGGGCGGCGTACGTGAACGTGCAGGTGTAATCCCCCTTGAAAAGAGAAGGCGAGGATCAGCACTCTCTCACAGCAGGATGAGCTATTTGTTGAGGCTCAGCGATTTGCCTGGCCTTGCACAGCATCTATATCTTGGAAAGGCATTGAAGGGATTTCTGGCAAGTCCTGATGCTTAAACTGTTTCTCTGCAAGCTCGAGAGGATGCAAAGTGCTAATAGTCGCTGCCCCCACGTCCCCAGAGCACGTTGCCTCCGCTGGCTGCGTGCACCCGCAATAAGAGGCGACATAGCAGGAGCTCAGGGGCTGTCGGCCACGAGGGCACCCAACAAGGGCATCCCCCTGCGCTGCCTTGATCTCATGCACGCTCCCAGCGGGCGGTTCAGTTGGTCCCTCGCAGGGGCAGGACGAAGGGTGTCACCGGAGATGCCCGCCCTGTCTGCGCATGGAGGGAGGTTTGCAGGGCACTGCCCTTGCCCAGCTGGTTCTGCCCCATGGGGTGCCAGAGCCCCCTGCACTGACACCCCTCGCCACAGGGGGCGCTGAAGGGCGGAGAGGGCGCGGCCGCGGCGGCAGCTCCACCCCTCTCCCCTGTCTTCCCACCCCGGCCCCGCCCCCTGGCTCGCAGCCAACCCGAGTGCCAGGAGGCCTGAGCGACGCGTGGCTCAGCCAATCCGCCCGCGCCGTGTCTGCAGCCGCCTCACCAGAGTCCGCGAGAAGGAATGCACCATGCCACCGGGCCTCACGTCGAACTCGGCCGTGCTGGGCCCCTCCCCCGCCCCGCCGAGCGCGAGCGGGAGGACGGCGGCGAGCAGCGCGAGCCAGAGCCGCCCACTACTCCCTCCGCTGGGCGCCGCCATCTTGGCCAGAAAGCCTCCCTACGGTACGCCGGAGGGGTCAATCCAAAACGCGGTTGAGGCGGCCCGCGGGAAGGGGCGGGGCCGCTTCAGCGGCCATCTTGGAGACGGGCAGCGATTCCAGTGTGCCAGGGTTAACCCTTTCGAGACCACATCTGGAACCAGGGACCTGGCAGCTCTTCCAATCAGGGAGCAGCAAGGATGGGGGAAGGGGGCAATTAAGTCATGGCTCATTAAATTTTGGCAAGGGGGCAGTTAAATTCATGGCTCACTACCTGATCCCTTCCAAACTCCCCTTGATATAGGTGACACGGGAGGATGCCCCGTGCCGTCTGCCCCCCCCCCAGGCGACCACGCTTTATCAAAATAAAAATGAACTACGCTGAATATTTGTATTGTCACTGTGGTATTAAGATCCTTTCACGGCAGTTTCATGCAGAGGGCAATTGAAATGGAAAATGTCCGACTTGCTTATAGGTCCTCCAAATTAAGCCTCCCCAAATGACTCCCTTGCCCAGAGCGCCAACAACCCTAAAGCCACGGCTGCCTCCATACGGGGCCAGGCTGAGACCCTTCCTCCTCCCTGCGTGCCTGGCCCAGCCCGTCTGGGGTGGGCACTGCAAGCAGGATGGACCCATGGGCTAGGGTTAGGGTTAGGAGAGTCCTTGATGGGCAGAGGAGGCTTGGATGCAGCCTGGGAGGAGGAGGGAGCTGTCCATGGGTCCCCTGCGTGCCACACCGGGCACCCACTCGGGCCACACACAATGTCCCGATGGGTGGCAGTGGGGGTGGGGCGGTCTGTGGGCCCGATCCAGTCCCACCCCACTCCTCTGGCCTCTGGGACAGATCCCTGGACATAGCAGATTCCTATTGCTATGTGCAATAACACGGCATTTGTGGTGCTTACGGACTACACAGGTCCTTTCCCCCACTGGAGGTCAGTGCGCTGGCTGGGCAGCATCTGACACCCAGCGTGTCTGGAGGTTTTCAATCTCCGGGGCTGTCGAGCAGGCCGGCCCCTTCCAGCAGCAATAAATCCTCAAAGCCATTTTGGAAGAAAGCGGGGTCAAGGAAAGAAATCTATCAGGTCATCGCGGCCATCGGGCCTGGGCTGCAGGCATACTGAACAAGCTACAAAAAGCGGGGTCCAGCTGCTCACCACTGCCGTTAGTCAGGACTCCCGTGTCTTAGCACCAAAATCAATCTCCTGAATGTACCTGAACCTAGCTGTGAAATGCTTGATTTATACCCTGCCTCCAGCTCATGAAGGCACAGAGAGGGGAAATAAAGCTGGAGGAGCGCCGGTTCTCTCATAAATCTCCAGAGGCTTAGCTTGAAGGACGCCAGACGAGCCCGGTGCTGTGCTGCAAAGCAGATTGCCCAACTGGCCGTCCCAGGCTGCAGGTGGCTGTGCTGCAGCACCCTGGGACTAGACGAGCTGTGGTCGCAAAAAGGGTGCAGAGAGAAGAGCTCAGGATCCCCTCGCCCTTCACGCATACAGGCACTTGCAAAACCTGGCTGAGACAGCAGGACGGTGGCAACTTGCAAGAGCAGGGGGTCTGCGGAGCGAGACCTCAGGATGACCTAGTGTGTGGGGTCTTTTGGGGGGTGCCTATTAGTAGACCTGATCTATAGCTCCCCTCACTCCCCTGAACTCCTCCGGCCTTCCATGTCCTAGGAAGCTTTGCTCCTTGTGCCCAAAATAGGCTGAAAGTTGTCCCTCTTGCCTACACAGACCCCCCACTTGCTTCTGAGGATCAGGTGAAGATGACAGCCCTTCCCACGGACACCAGCTTTTGGGAACTCAACACAACATTGCAACGGCAGTGAAAACCGCTGAGGCGGCTGTGTGCAAGCTCAAGCCTTTTTCCAGATGGGCTCAAAGGGTTTCAGACCCACGCGGAGTCTCCAAACCCATGTTGAGGGTTTAGTCAATGTGAGGCTGTGATATGCAAAGAGGCATCAGGAGGGGGAGGTCACACAGCAGCTTGGGGACAGAGCTGGGAAGCGCAAGTGTGTAGTTCTTCTGCCTCACGCTTGAAACCACTTGGTAACACTCTTCCCTTAACTTCCTGCCAGAAGTTCTTTTTTATACACCGTGTAGTTAACTTGTGGAACTCATGGCCACAGGAGGGGGTGGAGGCAGATGCTACAAGCCAGGTTCAAAAAGGGACTGGATCAGTGAATGGATGATCGATCTATTAATGGCTATGGAACAGAACGGCTGGAGATGTTTTCTCCGGCATCTATCACCCAATATTGGGAGATGCCAAGGAGGATTCCCAATAGGGGAAAGATCACTGGAGATGTCTGGTTCAAAGCTTTCTCTCTCCAGCATCCATTTCTGCCACTGTTGGACACAAAGTACTGGGCTAGATGGACCATTGGTCTCAGCCAGCATGGCACGGCTTATGTTCTTATGTTGTAGGAAGGCAGGGGTCTAGAAGTTGTCATTGCCTTTTGCTACAGCTCTCCGAGGGACTCCCTGTCTGAATGCAGGGCATCTGGGCTCTGCCGACGTTATCCCCACCAGCGTGCTTGGGTCTGTAAGCACATTGCTCTCCACCAACAACTGTTGGGGGGCAGAAAGCAAGTCAACATACAGTGCACAGACAGGGCAAAAATAAGGCAGGAGCAGGTCCCGAGTGCTTTCCCCCCCATTCTCCTTAGCTCGGCTGCCACCCAGTCTGGAGCAGTCTCGGATGGCTTTGGAGCATGAGCTACAAAGGCCGAAGGAAATGCCAGGCTTGTCGTACACAGAGAGCTCCGGTGGAGAAGCCTCTTTAATCTTGTTTCCGCCCAACAAAGAGCTTGCTTTGCACAGTTATCTTGGGAACGCGTTAGGCAGAGAACACTCCATCTCACTCGGTGCAGACGGGACACCGCACATCCCGATTAGAAAAGCGGTTTGCAACACGACTTAATTGCTAGTAAAGGCAGGTGAAATCTGAACCTGCAGCAACAAAGAAACCACCCCGAAATCCTGGCTGGGGGCCCAAAGGAGTGGTGTTCGGAGGAGAAAAATCCAGACTTGAAGGCAATCAAGGGGAAAGGATTCCAGTGGGATGAACGCTGTTCCAGCATAGAGGCCCCTTGGCGGGTCTGAGGGGCTACAAGACAGGAAAGCTGGCTTGATTGGCAACCCCGCAGTGGTTGTCTCCTTTCCACAGCCGGATGTAGCCTTGTTCACCCCAGCGCTCAGACCAGCTGTGGGAAGAGAAGGAGAAGAGTGAGTGTGTCGCTGTGCGGGGACACAGGGGAGCAAGGCGGGGGCTGTAGGACGTGCCCCCTTGTCCTGAGAAGGGTCTGCGGCACAGAAGCTCCCTAACAGGCTGCATTGGAGGCTGCACCGAGCAGCTGGTGTTGAGACCCCCATGCCCTCCCAGCAAAGAATTGGGCACTTCTTTATGGCTGTGCTCTGTCTTCCCATCTCCCTTTGATTGCTGCATCTTGGCAGCTGCCTCCCCGAACGTGCCTCCATCCGCTAACAAGCTCAGCCAGCTGAAAGGAGCAGCCCTGAAGTATCACACTGGACTACCAAGGCAGAAGGAGGCTTGCTCAGCTCTTGCTCTCAGCCCTGGGTGACAGGACCGGAGGGAGATGCCCTGGGAGGTGGAGTGCAGGTTTGTGTCCATCTGTCTGCCCATCCGCCCTGCGAGGGAAGGGGGCACCGAGCTGGATGCGGCCGGGGGGTGACAAACGAATGCACAGCCACATCCCCAAAGGTGCTCTCTCTCCCGGCTGTTCCCCACCCATCACCTGTTCTTTAGGATCCAGTAGTCCTTGCTTTTCCCATCCTCCTGGGTCGTGCCGTAGCCAACAGCAAGCATCGCGTGGCTCACTGTCCGGCTGCAGTGGCTGTCATTGAAGACTCCTGGAAAGAGCAAAGCTGAATCAGCTCCCACCAGCACTGCTGGCCCTGCGGTTCAAGAGAGGGGTCCTGGCAGGTCACTGGAGGGAGAATCTGCCCTGGCGCGGTGGGCTGAAGCCCCGGGCACAGCACAGAGGGGCAAAGTCTCTGCCCTCACAGGCTACTGTAAAATGAAACAGGGTGTGAAAGAGGAGACACAGACCTGGGCCCCTGCACCCCATTCTGGAAGAGCTTCATTTAGAGGCCCCCGGCCAAAAGGCCTGGTACCTTTCCGATAGAAGTGAAACTCAAAGTTGCTGGCATCCACCGCCACCGAGACTGGGCCCACGGTAGCCACCGCCTGTTCCAGGGCTGCCTCGCTGCCCTGCTTGACCCGCCGGAAGGAGGTGCAGTTGGCCGCTTTGTCCTGGATGTTGTAGCGGCAGCAGGAGCCGTCCTGCAGGGACGCGATGCAGAATGGGTGCTCAAGCCCTGCTCCCGCTGCCCGGCCACCCAGCTGTCTCCCCTCTCCGTCGTTACCTGTCCCAGGTAGGGGTAGATGCGCTCTGAGTTGATGCCCCCGTTGTCATGCACATACTGGAAGGCCCTTGTGATGTACCCCCCATGGCAGCCGCTGTTCCCCAGCTTCCAGGAGCAGTCCATGAGGTTCTGCTCACTCAGCAGCACCAGCTTGCCTGTCTTGTTGAAGACCAAGCCCTCCAGGGCCCCGGTGGCACTGAAAGCCCAGCATGACCCACATAAGCCCTGAGGAAGACAAAGAAAGGTGATTCGAGCTCAGTCCCAAATTGCAAAAAGCCCCAGTGGGGCTCACTGGGAGCTGCAGGTGGTCAGGCCGCGTAATTGCAGTGGGTCCCTTGGCGCTGCAGAGAGGCTGAGTCCTACCCGGCATCTGGGCAGCACATGCACGGTGCAGGACACCTCTCCTCACACCCCAGCTGCTCTGCTTGGCTGCCCATCGCTGGGGAAGAAGACATGGGGTCCACGATTGGCATGGCTGGGGCCTGCTCCCTGCTGTAACAGCTTTAAAGCAGATCGGGACGGGGGAAAGAAACGTGCACCCTCAGCCAAGCCATCCCCAGCTCCATCCCCACCACAGGGAGGTGGCAACAGGGAAACGACTGAACCCAGTTCCTCCCAGTTGGGTCTGGATTGCAGCCACACTGCGGGCTGAGGCCTTTGGTGTTTGAATGGGGTCACCCGAACCTGGGCCAGACCCAGAGCTGTGATCAGGTGCAGGCCCCCAGCATCCCCAAGGCCCGTGCCCTGGACCATCATGAGCAGCAGCAGACCCTGGGGCTGGGCATCAGCTGCATCCTCGGCCCACCTGGTTCTTCACGGGGGTGACATAACCCTTCGCTCGCCAGTCCACCTCTTTCAGGGTCGCAGGAGAAGCTGGTTCCTGGAAGAGGAGCTCTATCCCACCGGGCTGCTGGGCGGTGTCGGGAATGAAGCCGTTCACAACCTGGTTGAACTCTTCATCCGTCTGCAGGGAAAGGAGAAGTCTTGAGAAAACGTGACCACCTGAGCCCCCCGGCCTGCAGACCTGGGTTTCCCCCAGTGGATCCTAAACATCAGCTGCGTGGGAAGCCAGGAGGGGCGGGAGGGATGGAGGAAGCGAGTGCTGAGGATGGGAAGCTGGTCCCTGCAGGGCCCCTTGGCGTTGGGGTGGAGGAGGAGGATGTGGTCATGCTGCCGTTGAAGGGAGAAGAGTCTCCTTGGCATGCCGGGGAAGAGGGGGGCCACGGTGCTGGGATTTTGAGGGCTGAAAGAGGAGGATGGGGAGGGGATGGAGGAAGGGAAGAGGGTCCCAGATACCCAGGGGGGCACCTTGCTCTCCCACCCACCCCCACAAGCCAAGCGAGGCCAAGACAGGGCACGTACCAGGTCCCCAAAGTGGTTCATTTCCAGGTGGTAGCTGTGCTTCCCCTGAGATGCCTCCAGGTTGTGCTGCTTGATCCGCTGCAGGTTCTTCGCCCAGGTCTCCTTCCGGAAAGCTTCATCGTCCTGCCAAGGGACAGAGAGCGGTTACAGTCGGGCAGGCTCCCGGTCTGGAAGCAAAGGAGCTGGGCAGGGGAAACTCAGGGGACAGGTCCGATGAGATGGGCCTGAGTCGGGGAAGCTGAGGTGCTGGGGCTGCACAGAGGCAGGATACTGAATTGAGACAGCAGAAGGGACCCTGCTCTGCAGGCGTGTGCATGTGTGCGTGTGCATGTGTCCAGGAGTTCCCCACAGGCCCTAGGCTGCACCATGAGGGCTGGACCATGTCCTCCAGGTCTGCCCCCTTCAAAATCAGTGGGAATTATGCACGACCCCCACAATGGGAAGTCTCTAGTTGGCCAATGGACCCGTCCTCCCCCTCCCCAAACAGCTCGGAGCCCCTCCATGCTCTGGACTTACCTCGAGATACTCCTTAGCATGGAAGCTTTTCCATCCTCTCCATCCATCTTCCAGGGCTGGGTCCAGAGCAAGAGTCCAGCCCAGCAGCGCCGCGAGGAGCCCTGGCAGGACCAGCATGGCACAGCCTGGGGGTGGGGGAGCGAGAAACACCCCAGTTAGCCGTGAATTGGGGCTGCTCCCAGCATCCGTCAAGTTAATTTTGATGGATAAAAAGACCCAGAGCAAAAGCGTTCGCGTGACCCCATTGCAGCGCAACATGAAAGCACTGAGACTGGCTCAGGGTTTCTAGGACAGAGACATTGGCCTGCTTAGACCCGTGAAACAAATCCCCATTAAAACCCTCATTAAAGACAGCAAGGAAGAAAGAAATCCGGCGGAAGTGTTTGAAATGAAAAGCAAAGCTTTAATTTTAACAGCCTCTTTTCCTCCCGGTCTGTGTGGCTGGGAGAGAGTTGGGCGGGGGGTGTTTTACGGGAAACCTTTTGTTTCAACGGGGTTTATAAAAGTCCCAGCTGCCTTTGAGATGCAATTTCACTGTCCTTTTTACGGAGGGGGGAAAAAGAGCTGAGATGGGCTGCATGGGCTGATGATCCCGCTCCCTTGAAGGCAAAACAGGAGGTGTGGTGCAGGAAAAGAGAGGGGGGAGAGCAGGCAGCGGCTGTTCCTGGAGCCGACTTTTCCACCCGACCCCGCTGCCCGATAGAGGCAGGCGGCCATGCCCAGGCCTGGCAAAATATACCAGAATTGGGGCTTCAATTCTGCCCGGCTGCCTTCCCACTCAGGGATTTAAGAGGCTGGGGAAAGTCAGACGCTTTGCTCAGACTAAAGACAAAAAAGAAGGAAATAGGGAAGGGAGGAAAAAAGGCGGGGAAGGAACATTGGGTCTCAAGCAGGAGGCTGATGGCCAGAGCACAAGGCTCGAGTTCGAGATGGCGCGTAGGACACGGCCGATGCTGGAGGAGGGCAGTGTCACTTGGGTCCTTCTCTTTAGCTCATTTTGGTCAGGGCATCGCTCAGGCCCAGCGGTGTCCCAGCAGCCATTGCAGCCTTGACAGAAGAGCTGGTTCCTTCGTGCCCACCTCTTCTCCCAACACCGGGGTTAAGCGATAACCCCCAGAAAGGATGCTGGGTGCAATCGCCCAACTTCTCATTGCATTTTGCCATGAAGCACCAAGTTTGGTCCGTCCATCTCTGGCCCCACGGTGCCTCCTGTTTCCCAGCCGGTGTCCATGGGAAATCCTGTTTGGATTCATTCAGCTTCTGTGTCTTTAACTTTCACTGACTTTTACCTGCCTTTTACTAAAGCACGGCCCTGCGCCATTCCTTCAGACCCACCTGGAGCCCCCAATCCGGGCTCCCATCGCTGCCCGCCACACAGCAATTTGTGGGGATGCTTCCACTAATGCAAACTGGGGGTAACCAGTGACAAGACCCCCCCACACACTTTTCTGGGACAACGGCATCACACATGGAGCCCAAGCCTAGCATCTGCAGCCACTGAAGGCTCCCCGGGAATCAGCTGGGGGCACTCGGTACCATTTATAGCTGCCAGGTGATTTCCACTCGGAGACCAGCATTGCCCAGGCTCTTTTTTTGCTCCTGTCTGAGCAGGAGACTTGCTGAGTAAAACCAAACTCCAGGTCAGCATTAGCTGGTGTTGCTGCTGCCTGTGCAATCTCACCAGACTGTCAGCTGGAGGGTTATCTCCTGGGCATGGCTTCCCCCAGTTTCCCACCCTCCTTCCATAGTATTTAAATATTTATTTAGAAAGCAGCACAGCTGTGCTCTGAGGATTGGCCTTTGCCATGCTATTTCCCAGCTGCCACGAGCAAACAGTCACTGCAAGCAAGGGACAGTGTCTACTCGACTGGTTTTCTACCCAGGCCGCACATGCTACTGGGGTTTGCTGCTAGCGTTATAGCTACAATCGGCCTAACGGAGGCAGCCGCTAACAGTACCTTTGCACGAGGACAAAAACCACCTTTATTGCTTGGAAATGAGTCAGGCTTCCTCTCTGCCGGGTAGAGACGTTACAACGGGCTGAAGGGACGCTCATCTTGGGCGTGCGTTGTATGCATCGGATGATAGCAATCGTGGCGGGGGGGTGGAGGAGAGAGTTGCTTCTGCTTGTAGCCAAATATTTAGCAAGATTCAAGTGGGACTGGGGGTTTATACGGGTGGACAGACCAGACAGTAGGTGGGAGGTAGACTTTCTAGCATGGGGACTATGGTGGAGTCCTACTGAGATCAACATTGCAACTTTTGGGAGGGAGGACAGTCTCATGACCGCCTACCCTGGGGTTTCTTGCTCTTCTTTCTGTGCCCTCTGGCTCTGCTCGTAGTCGGACAGGATGCCCGCAGTTACCGCGCAGCTCCCACATCTCAGCCAGGTTGCTGGCTTGTGTCTTTTTGGCCCTTTTCTGCAGGGCTCTGCGCCAGCGCCGGGGTGTAGCGCTGGCAGGCACTTTGCCAGTACCCGAGGTCGTTAGGAAACGCAATGAGCAATGTGCTGCTGAGACCAGCTGTCACTGCGGGGAGTGCAGGCCTGGTGGGGGATGCTCCCGCTGACAGCCTTCAGCCTCTCCTAACCACCCACCACTGCAGCCTCCCCTGCTCTGCTCTCGGCACCTTGTCATGGAGCCCAAGCCCGGTGCCGCTCCTCCACTCAGCTGCCAGCCCATCTAAGGATCTCCTTCCTGCCCTGCCTCCAGAAGGGACTGGCACCAGGGACACCACCGATGGCTCATGACCAAGGTACTCGGGGCAGGGACCTACTTGTCCAGTGCTGGCAATCACAGAGGGTGATGCAGAAAGTGCCTTTAAGCCCTGCACCGAGAAGCAGAGGACTCCATCCAGCAAGGTACTGCACACCCTAACCCAGCAAGGCAGGCAAAACATGAAGTTGCACCGAAGCCAAGCCCGTGTTTAAATACCAGGCTGCACTGAGGCCAGGGCACCCAGCAGGATGAGCCCCAAGTGCTGGTAGGGTCAGAAGTCAGCATCACATATGCACAGCTCTGGGAAAGCTGCTTTTCCGGCTGGCCAGAGCCCAGCCTGGCACAAAAGAGCAGTGTGACAACTGGCACTAGAGGAAACATGGGCGATGCTTTTTAACAGCCTAGATGGTCCCAGGTTGCGGCTTTGGCAGCGTATCACACATCCTCCCGCAGCACCGATAAGCGGAGCCATTTGCAAACAATGTGATCAGGGGGCAGAAATAGCACTCGAGAAGGTCAGAGGAAGCTGCAGGGGAGGCGGGCAGGCTCTTGCTTCACATTGAGGTCTAGCAGCAGCTGAAGAGGACAGAGCTGCGTGTGGGGGGCAGGGGATTGGGGGAAGAATGCCCTGGGACCTGCCCGGTTTTCCTTTCCCCAGGAGAGCACCCCTATGCTTGCAGTCCCTGAATGCAGTTGCCTGGCCCCCAGGGCCAGGACTGCAGCTGTGCTCCCAGCCTCTACAGCTCCTTGGGTCCAGCCCCACATAAAACTGCTACGCTCAGATACAACAGCCCCAAATCAAGTCCCACTTCACAGAGGGAGAGAAACTGAGGCACGGCCTGAACCTGCCTTGAGACCGCTGGAAACAAAGCCCGGGCTCTTCAGTAGCAATCTTGTGTCTTCCCCCAGATCCACCTCTGCTCAGCAGTTGATGGAGGGCATCCCCAAGGAGACTACATCGGCTTCCCAGCAAGCTATTTCCACCTCGCTCTCTCCCCGAGAGAGGAAACGGGGCTGGCTGCATGGCTCAGACATCCTGAGTCTGGCACTGAAAGACGATGCAACTTAAGTAAGTGCAGGCAACCGAGTGCTTGGCATACGCTCTGCTTTGAAAAGCATGCCCTGCTTTTGAGCATGCACCTCACTCCACCATACTAGGCCAGGAAGGCAATGGATCGGTGCCCGCCTTGGCCTGGAAGAAATGACCAGACCTGGGGCACGGCCGTGAGTGCCCAGTCCAGCTCAAACCTACCCAAACACTGCACTTTTGCAAGCCCCCCAGGCTGCTGCACACATTATTACAGGGCAAGGACACTCGACCCACCATTGGGTTTGCAACCCCACTGCAGCTGCCAGTTGAAGACGCAAGTCCTGTCCCCCCTCTCCCATCCCTTCCTTTGATAGGGCTCGGCTACAATTTTCCACAGATGCTGAAGTGCGTTAGATAATTAGGGCAATGCCCAACACACTAACAAGACTGCAGGACGTAGGGGACACCTCCAAGCAACTTGTTACTGGGACAGCGCCACAGAACTCGTTCATTTTTGCTTTTGCTTCCTAAACCGGATGGTGAAATAGTGCACCAGCCACAGGATGAAGTGGATTTACTGGAAGCTTAGGAGCTGATAACGGATTTCAGTGCAATCTCGTAGTGCATTTTAGGCTCTTCCTCCAACTTGGTTATAGCAGAGCTTCCACTGGGGCACAGAAACTGCCCACCCCACACTGACCTACAGGAATGAGTTTACCTTGCACATAATGCTGAGACCATGTGCATGTGTGTACACACACACACACACACACACACACACACACACACACACACACACGTGTGCATATACTTCTAGAAGACCCACAGTATTTTAAAACACAAACAGACCAATCAATATGATGGCAATCCTCTTCCAACATGTCTCACATTTTCTCTCTCTCTGTTTCTCTCTCTGACTCAGGGTTTCCTGCTGGTTTTAGCTACTACGAGATTACGAGAATGCCAGAGAGCTTGCTAGCTAAATGATGTGTTTGGACAGAAAGTCATTTTTTGGTCAAACTTTTTGAGGTCTGTCCAATGTAAAAATACAAGAGCAAATCTGAGGTGTTTTAAAGCAAGTGTTCTCCTACCAAAAAGCAGAGCATTTACTTTGAAGGCCACCCCTACCGCTAAGAAAAACCTTAATTGAACTCCCAGCCCCCCCAAAGCTTTGCAATCCATCCAATTCTCCGGGGACAGCAATTTTTCACGCTCGCTCACACTGATCCCACTAAGACCGTTCACTTCCAGAAGTGCAGTTCATTCCTTTAGGAAATGAGTTCAATTGTGCTTTGGCTCTAGATAAAGGGCTTGCAGTAATAAGAGATGCCTTGAACCTGACTTAAGTAGAGGTAAATTGGAGTACAAGGCAAGAGGCAGTGGAGAGGGATAAGACAGAGGTTTCTTTGCATTTGTTCTTCAGGCCCCAGTAAGCCTGCTGCACAGCAAAAGAGGTCAGGATTGAGATTGATTGATTTCCAAGCTAATGATTTTGGGGCTCTCCAACCCCACCTGGCCCTGCATCCTACAGTCCAGGGGAGAGCTCGAGGGATCTGACATTTTAAGTTCAAGACAAGCACTTCGTCAGTATATATTGCAGCAGTTCAACTGCACACTCCCAGGGCAACAGCCTGCCTTAGACCTGCAGATCCAAACAGGCTGAGCAGCAGCTGGTCACCTCCCACCTAGACTGCCTGGCTTGGAAGAAAGATTAAGGAGTCAGGAGGTAAAGGAAAGGAGAAGCCAGCAGGCTGGGAAGAGAAGCCCTATTGATTGCTCTTTCAGAACTGAAGCAGCTGTGAAGACTTGACAGGGAGAGGAACAAACCTCACGAAATACAGAAGTTCTGCTGTCACCTGGCACGTGTTCACCTGGGTCTCCAGAGGCAGGGGGAAGGAAGGCAGGCGGCTCCTCTCTGTAAGGGCCGTGGGGATGCTCGTGTCTCCGCTCGGGGAGCTTCAGAGATCAGAGACGTGCAACTTCCTGCCAGACCCCCCTCCCTCCCTCCTCCCCCCAGTCCTACTGCTCAGCCACTTGCTCAACAGGGCTTCCTGAAGCAGCTAAAACAAGGGCACAGACCCATCAAGATAAGGCTAGCATGGACAGTTTGAGCACAAACAACTTGTACCTAGCTTCCAAGAATTGGAGCGCTGGCTGCACTTGAGCAGACGCTCCAGCTCCGCATCTCAAAGCACTCAGCAGGCTTAACTAACGCACTGTTTCTTCACCCAGAGGGGAAACCAAGATGCTATGCCTAAGTCTCCAACCTTTAGACCCTGATTCTTCCATGAGACAAATGCAGGCAGCCCCAGCAGTCAGATGCACAGAGCAGCTCTGCACCGGAGCTTCCTGCCTGCCTCCTACTACAGGGTCAGGACCTCGGGTGCCAAATTTGGGTGCCCATGTGCCCTGACCTCCAGAGTGACTGAGTGTCCCCATACTCCCACGTGCTGGCGGCTCAGCCCCCCAGGAAGAATCAGGCTGCTGTCTGCAGCTGCTGAATAGTTTGGACGCCAACATCCATCCACCCCCAAGGCTACACAGTCAGCAGACAATCTGGGAACATGACAGGAGTTCCCAAACCCTGAAGCTTCCGCTGCTTAGATCTGGCCTTTCTGGAGGAATATTAAAAACATAACATAGTTGTCAACTCCCAACAAGAAAGAATCGCCGGCTGTGCCACCAACCCCGCGAGTGACCGCAGCGAGCCCGGAGACCAATGCGAGTGCCATGGCATCCATTTCCAATATTTTAATGAGTCGCTACATCTTACACTCAATTATAAAAGAATAAGAATCCATAAAAATATTTTCTTTTCATAATACGCACTTAAAATACTCGGGGGCAAGTTGATGTGGTTCATTTGGGTGGGTTGCTCTTGTTCATTTTTGCCCCTGACAAACCCTTGGCTTTGGGGGCAGAAGGGTGGGTGCTCCCCTGAGGTGCAAGTGTCTACGCCCCCCCTACCCCAGAACTGCAGTTCATGGTGACCCGGTAAATAAAAACCAGAAGAGAGCGAGTGTTTGCCAAGTAGATGGGCGAGGAGACCAGTCACTGACCCGCAGAGAACTGAAGCGCAGCCAATTTCAGTGCACGTCCGAAAGCTCAGGGCATTGGGGGCAAGAGGGTGGTGAGGAAGGGTGCACTGGGGGGAGGACACAGCAAAGAGAGGGGCAATAGTGGGGAGGGAGGGAAGGAATATTTGCATAAATATCCATCTCATGTTGCAAAACCCAGATGCTACTGCAGTTTCTGGGAAGGCGAATGCCAGTTGGGGTGTAGCCAGCTGCTACCATGCTACCTGTTGGCACAGTTTTGCCCGTGAGCAGCAAGTCGGGGTAAGGGGGCTGAGGACACTGTCGCCAACCCAGCTGCTTTCCCCCTCTGCTCTGCAAAATTAACTTAAAAAAACTAAAAAGAAAAGGAAAACAAAGGAAAAAAGGAAGCCTTGTGTCACATGCTTCTGCGGAGCTGCCCAGGCTCCAGCCTTTGCGCGTTCCAAAGCAACAGCAGCAGTGATCGACTCCTGCGGGACTCAGGGCGGCTGCTTCTCTCCCCCCTTGCCCTCCTGACTTAAGGCAGTATGCCGATTCAGCTCTTCCATTTCCAACGCAGGCACTGACTTCTCGCAGGTAAGAGCATGGGGCCTGCTGAGGTGCAGTGGAAGAGACAGGAGAGAGAGCGAGCGAGAGATGCACATGCACCTCAGCCTCTGGAGCCGGACCCCTGTCACTGGTTCCCAGCAGAGAGGGAGTAGCAGCAAAACAAAGCATTAACAGCCAGGGCAGAGTCAAGGTGAGCAGCTGAGTAGAGGCAGAGCTCTAGCTTAGGAAGCGTAGGAAGGCAACACTGTCCAGAGGAAACAGAAGCAGTACTCCCCCCAGCCCCTTGGTCAGGGTAGCCCCCCAGCGACTTGTGCTCTGGCTTCAAAGGCGGTCGAGGGAAGGAGGTGGTGGCAGCAGGGGCAGAGGTGAGCTGTCAGTGTCCAGCGGTTTGCTGAGGCCCGTGCTCTCAGAGGTATTCTTGTAGAAAGTGCAGCAGCGTGATTTCATAGTGCTCGCCCGACTCGGGGCACCGAATACTGTGTCTCTCGTTGGGGTAGATCTACACGGAAGCAAAGAGATGGCCGTTAGCTGATAATGGCTACGTTACCCCCATAGCTCCTCCCATGGACTTGCCTCTGGCCCCCACAGGGCTGAATGCATTTTAGGGGAGCCAATGAGTTCTGTGAAATATATCTGCTCTGGCACCCCCTGCACATGTCAACACGTCTGCTAGTCAACACATCCTTTCACAGCATCTGGTGAAGTGAGCTGTAGCCCACGAGAGCTTGTGCTCTCTCCACAGATCTTATTTAGTTAATATATAAGGAGTATATCACCCTGTCTTCTGCTAGCCAAATGTCAGAGCAGGCCACCAAATGGCTTGAGGCCACCTGGGCAAGTCAACTGATAGCCACAGAGTGCAAAGGGAGAAGGCAGGCAGCAGGGGCAAAATGCTGTTTAGGAAAGACTTGGATACTGTCGCTGTTCTGCAAAGCAATGGAGCAGCAATCGAGTGCCACCTTCTGGTCACATTTGTGCAGCTGGCTGAAATTAAGGTAGGCTGGAATCACCTCTGCTTCTCCAGACATGGGAGCTCTTATACTACTTCCCTCTGAAGAAAGGAGGAGGAAGAAAGTCTTCCACTGCCTCCTGGTGCACAGGGACCATCCGACCTCGCTCCAGTTCCTCTTACCTGCAGCTGATAAGGTTTTCCGGCCCGGATTAGCTGGGAGACCAGGAAGTTGGTATGAAAAAAGTGCACGTTTTCATCCAGAAACCCATGGAGGATCAGCAAGCGGTTTGGCCTGGAGATAGGGCGAGAGAGAATGAGTCTGAGGGCAAAGCCTGGCCAGAGACTTGAGCAGAGCCATCAGCCAGCACATCAGCACCTGGTTACGTGGGAGGGAAACAGGTCCCCCTCCGCCACCCCAGGGCATGGCATCACTGATCTTGGGCTCACCTTAGCTGAGGCAAGCTGGGTCACAGCACCCTGCCCTTGCCCACCACAGACAGCAGTGCCAAACAGTGTGAATTAGGGCAGAGGATCGCCCAAAGTTTCAGCACTCTCCACAACAATGTTCTTAAAGCTTCTGCCAGTGAACTGACTTTCCCCAGCCAGCCAGTTTTATCTAATCTACCCCAGCTTCCCCCTGCTCCTCTTCCCTTGAAGCAGCTGAGCCCAGAAGAAAGGCAAGTGACCATTAGATGTGCTCTACTCTGGCCAGGTGCACACAGGCCAATGCCAGCTGATGACCTGGAGGAGGTCAGCTTTAGGAGACAAGGATGAGCACCCAAGGTAAGAGGGATTACTGCAAGCTCATCAGCAACAGCAAGCCCTCAGCAGTCAGCAGCAAATACCTTGTCGGATGGTACTTACTCATTGGGGAGTTTTTCTACATGCAGTGCCACAGAGCCGGCTTCGTAACCCTGCTGGTTGTTCTCTGGGATATCCATGTACCGCTCTGTGTACCCGGTGTCATACGCCATCCAGACTGTAACAGGGGCACCTGCTATGGCAATCTGCCAGACAAATACAGGGGGGCAGAGAGGGTTTCAGTGATCCAGTGCTATAATACACTGCCTTATCCTTCCTGGGGAGGTCAGAGACCCACAGCTGTAAACATGTGCTTCCTCGTTCCAGAGCAGCCCAGCTCCTGCAGCTGAAGCACAGTGCCTCCTGAAGTCAGTGCTGCACCACCCTCTGGCTCTGCCTTAACCAGGAGCTACAGGCATGACTGGGAAAAATCCAGTCTGTTCTACAAACCAGGATAAGTGAGCACAAGGACCCTTTCTGCTCTGAAGAGCTATTCAGCAATTGCACTTCTTCAGACCCACAGACCTCAAAGGGCTACACAAGCACTCGACTTCGACCCCCAGCATTATGTCAGGTGCCTTCCAGGTGGAGGGAACATGGCCCCCACAGGCACATGCAATCTGAGCAAAGGTTAATTAGGGGATATTTATAGCAATTGCTTTATCTGTCACCATGGAGCGGCCACCTATGGAGTGGAACAGTTGCTGAGGAAGCAAAAGGGACTGCTGAAATCACTGGGGAAATTCAGTTGTGGGAAAACGTAAGGTTCCCAGATGGAACTTGACCAGACTGTTTTTATTAGGAAAAGCGCCAGGGAATCTGTTCAGAAAGTTTATTGTCGCTTGAGAAAGCACTGTGCCCTGCAGCAATGTGCCCTCTAACGCTGTGTGGGTTTTACTGGCTCAAAAGCCCCGTAGTGCCTCTTGATTCACAGCAGTGCAGGGGCCAGTGAGGAAGCGTATCCCCTAACGAAGAAGCCGTTCTCAGCCACACCCACCCATGCAGCTGGAACCTGGAGGCACAGGATGGGATGGTGGCAGGGCTGCAGCTCTAGCTCAGGGAAGGTGCATTTGGTGTGTCCCTTTTCCAGGACTGAGGCTGATGACAGCCCATCCCCTGCCAGGGGGCATTCTCCCCAGCCAAAATGCACCAGGCCAACTCCCAGTCAGGAGTTAGGGGCAGGAATGGTTGGGGCACATCTCCCATTCTCCATGCTCCTTCCTGTACAGAAGCTGTGGTCCAAGGCAGTCACTCTCCACTGCTGGCTCAGAACTCTGCTGTTCCTTCCAGATGGTGCTCACAGCCCACTACCTCAGGGTCCCAGCCCAAAGCTGGTCTCAAACAGATGCTAAATGCAAAAGTGCAATGTTGACAACCTGCTTGATTCTAGGCAGCTGTTCCATCAAACCAGCCAATGCCTGAGCCAAGGGGGCAACTTTTGCATTTCTCTGTAGCCCAGATCCAAGGGCAGTGAACAGGAAAAGCCAGCTACAGGCATGGAGCACTTGGAGCTTGCCATCCCATAACATCACTCACAGACACCAGATGCACTTGGCATGCTGTCCTTCCCCAGCCACACTCACCTTGAACACACTGGGCTTGCAGATAAGGCCCATGAGGGACAGGAAGCCCCCGTATGACCAGCCGTGGATGGCCACCCGAGTCAAGTCAATGAACCCGTATTTCTCTGCTACATAATGTAAACCTTCGACCTGGTCCTCAATCTCCACCTGGCCCTGGAAGAAGAGCTCAAGTCAGCTTATTTTCTGAGTGAGAGGGTGGGAGGCCACTGTAGGAGGAGAGATAATGCAGTAAACAGAATTACCATTTGGTTTTTAAGGGCCCCTTCAAACTTGAGTCCTCGCTGACAGGAGCCCCTCCCATCGATCACCACCACAGCATAGCCTAGGGATGCTAGCGTGTTGAGCCGCAAGTACTTGATACCTTTGAAGGAATTATTCACTAATTGCACCTAGAGGAGGAGAAAGGACAAATCACGTGAGCAGTCCTCTGAAATCCTCTCCCCATCTTTATAAGGGGTCAACAGTCACTATTTGCTGTCTAAGGCTCTACGCCACCCCTCAGAGTTTATCAAGGCCTGAGCTAGGCTACAGCCACTAGCAAGGAGTTATTTGGCTCATAGCAACTGGACTGGACAGGAGAAAGCATCTGCAACTCCCAGTTCCAATCAGAGGGCAAATTCCCAGGCAGCTCTGAAGAATTCCCTCACATGGGAGAGATG